GTATTTCTTTGTCCTGAGTTGAGATGTCGTGAGGGTGCAGAGTACTGCTGAAAGGTATTCTTCCCTCTCCTGAGACCGCACTGTCTGGCTGTTTTCCAGTGGCAGGGCGGAGAGTGCAGTGTCAGAGTTGTATTGAAGCATCTATTGCCCTTTCCTTAGGAACCAGGGATGCTAAGCTAAGAACAGCCAGGCCTCCCTTGGCAATGGGAGTCCCCTTGTGTGTGCAGCACCAGTGAAGAGCGCTGCCAGCCGCTAAGAGCTCATGCTGCTGATCATTTCAGGTCAGGCGTAGGCAGCACTGCAGGAAGACCCTTATAGAGAGAAGTAAAAGAACTGAGAGAGACTACTTCTTCCTCACAGGGCCAGCATCGCTGTTTGCTTATTGGAGTGGCTCTCAGCGTACAGAAAATGACGTTTCTTTTTTGGCTTTTTCAGGTACTTCTTGTAGATGGGAATGGCCTGCTCCATCCCAGAGGTAGGACTTTACTGGAGAGCCCTGCTCTCCAGGGTCCCCATGCTACCACTTGAGATTCCTGTTCTCTGGTGTCCTGCAGTTACAGTGACTTGTTGTTGGCAGGATTTGGTGTGGCCTGTCACCTCGGAGTCCTGACGGATCTACCATGCATTGGAGTGGCCAAGAACCTCCTGCAGGTGGATGGCTTGGTCAGGGATGAGCTGCACAGAGAGCAGGTTAGGCCAGGTTGGGAATTTATGTCCGCTCTTTAATATCCCAAGAGAATTGGGATGGCCGCATACAAGTACTTTCTAACCAACTGACCTTGTGTGTTTTTATCCCTAGATTCGTTCCCTGCAGAGGGAAGGAGATACGTTCCCACTAACGGGCACTTCGGGGCGAGTCCTGGGCATGGTAAGCTGCGGGGAGTTTCCTGTTCATTTGGCCATCAAGTCTTGCAGCTCTGTGTAGCTGGGAGCACTGGACAATGTGGTCTCTCTAGTGGGACTGTCTCAGTGATATTAGTTCAGGGAGACGTGACGTGTACAGGTGACTAGTAATACTGCTTTCCGCTTCCTGTGAGCTCAGACATTTGTAGAAATAGTAGAAAGAGTTCAGGTGTTGGATATATTCACGTCCATGGCTATGGCATCTGAGGTGCCGTGCTCCAGCACCCCCGTTTGTGAACCACAGTCAAGGAGAGGTGCCAATTCTGTAGCAGCTTACCAGGATGCAATATGGAAGTGTCTGACTCAGAAGAGCGCTGCACAGGAAACGGGCAGATGTAAGAAACTTCCTGCGTCTGGTGTTATTTCAACATAGTCTGCATTAGCAAGTCTCACCGCTTCCCAGAGCGGTGTGAGGCATTTGGGGAAGGGCCACAGGGCAAACAGTCCCTATGAGGAGATACTGGGAAGTAGAGGATCGAGAAGGCTGGGAGTTACCAAATACAGAGCCACCATCCCACCTTCTGAAGGCAACTGGCTAGCTTATAATTCATCTGCCACTCTGTATTTGTTAAAATAAGCCTCTTAAATATTTGATCTTTCTGAATGCACAGGTCCTGCGTAGCTACAACAACAGCTCTAAGCCGCTTTATATTTCTGTGGGTCACAGGGTGTGCCTGGAGACAGCCGTGCGTCTAGTCAAGTCCTGCTGCAGGTACCGGATCCCAGAGCCCATCCGTCAGGTACAAAAGCAGGGGAGCTGAGGAAGGGGAAGGCAGGCCTGGAGCAGGGAAGCAGGCAGGCAGGCAGTGGAGGGGGCTGTGGATGCCAAGCCTATGGCGATGTTTCAGAGCCTCAGTTTGCCACTCATCTGCAACTGACAGTTCTGCAGCTGGCACCCTTCTTGCTGGCCTGTTCTCCCCAACCTGTTGTATTATTGTTTACGTGGTAGTTAACTGATCCTTCCTTCTTCCTTGCTTGTTCTTCTGATGCAGTGCCTGGAAGCACACGCAGCCCTTACTGCAGACCCAGCCTCACTGATTTCTTGGTTCCTCTCTGCAGGCAACTTCTGTGATGCTGATGTTAATACACAGGAGCTGGAAATGCAGTTTTCCTGGGCACTCTGAGCCTAGCACAGACTGCAGTGCTGCTTCTCTGGGCTTTTCCCTGCTACTGCACTCCGCAAGGAGCTGCAGGCTCTGGGGCGGCAGCCAGCCAGTAGGTGACAGCACTGGATCACCGTCAGTGAGCCGCAGCTGCCACCAAGGCTCAGCTTCAGACTAATTAAATCGCAGCAGGACTTGAGGAAAGGATCTGGAGAAGTGCAAAGCCTCTGGGACTTCTAGCTTGACAAGTGCTTCCCTTCTCTCAGGGTCACCCTGCTGTTAGTGGCTCAGACAGGCCAGGCCCAGCGACCGTCCAGGGAGCAGGACCTGTTCAGATGTCCGTGTTCATAATATTGCCCTGGAACATGCCGTTCGCATTGCTACACCGCTGTGTTTGTCAGGTGCCTGGCCACCTTTGCTCTGCAGCTCCTCAGAGCAGCACTAAGGTGATCCTGCTATGGGCTGTTATGCAGCCTCTACACACAGGAGCTTCTCGTTGGTACTGCAGTGTTTTCTGAAAACAGAGTATTATAGCTATAAACCAGACAAAAATCTAACACCTTAGAGCAAAACAAACCTTGAAGTGTCCGTACCAGAACTGGAGTTTCTGATCTCATAAACCACTACCTGCCAGACGGGAGTAGGCTGATAGATCTTTTTATGTAATCTCTTCCAGCAAGGGACAGATGCCTCCGCAGAGCTCTGAGCTAGCTCTGCAGTTCGGCATGTTCAGAGGAAAGGGGAAAAGCACTCCCTTTGGAAACAAAAAGGTGTCTTGGAGCTTTTCATCACCCTCATTTCATTTCCAGCTATCTCCAGTATTTGTCTATGTTCTGAGACTCTTCCAGTTCTCTAACTATGACCTTTATTTAAAGTGATGGAATGAATTGTTGTCACTTTTCTTACAGAGGGATTAAAAATCCAAAAGGGAGTGTGTTTACTGTAGAGGTAGAGGAATGGCAGGAGATAAGGACACTTAAACCTTTCCATGGGACTCCTCCCTGTTGCAGTTCCTCTGTGTGGTAACTGTCACAGATCTTGCCGCAGGGCAGTGCTGGAAGCCTCAGCTCTTGAGCACCTAAAGCTGGAGTTAGGAAGTAGAAGGCTGCAGGCAGCCCTGCTGTGGATGACTGACTTGGCCTTTTTGCTATGGCATGTCCCCAGAACAAGCTTGCAGACCTGATGGGTGATGTGCTTATGGCTTTCCCAGTGTCGTGAAAGACTTCTGGATCGTTGACTCTTAGTTTGTAAGTTCTGGTAGCCCTAGAAATATAATGGTCTTAAGAGAGCTCAGCTGCCCGTACCTTCTTGAGGCTGTGTTTATGGATTGTATGAAGGCAGTACTGTGCTGCAGCACGTGCAGTGCTGTGCAACTCTTGTGGGAACTTAAACCTCCTACTTTCCTAGAGGTATGGCTGGCCAGTCTGTATAGGGTATGTTGTGCTTCTTGGGCATGCAACACTATCTAGGCAGTGATCAGAAACGGTTTGATTTGCATTCAGCCCACAATGTGGTCGTGCTGCCAAAGGAACTGTGGCTGTGATGCAGGTGAGAGAAGCAATCTTTCAGAGAAAGAAGAGGGAAGTTCATTATCACCTACAATCAGTATTTACACCCACTTAGTCCTTATTCCATGTGTAAGTGCAAGGCCAATCTGGGAGAATTTTGCTTGCATGGGGGTGATCTCTCTGCCCAGCCAGCTTGTGAGATTTTGAGGTTCTGCAGAGAGTTGGTCATTTGGAGCTACCCAGACAGGGATTGAGGTAGGCAGGAGCTGTCATCCCAGAATAATAAGCAAAGCATTCAAAGTGAGTGGCACTGGAACAATACCAAGCCCTCCTGAGAGCAGCTGCCCTTGCCTACTTCTGGCAGAGGTCAGAACCCCTCTCCAGTGTTTGCCCACGCTCCAAGCCTGCTCAGAGACAGGATCCCTATGCACAGCGGGGAAACAGAAGCTTTTAATACTCTCCAGCTGACAGGGATTGCACTGGGACTGATTCTTCTGCTCTCCCTGTTTCAGGTTCCTGGTTGGCTGCACACCAGCCTCCAGCTCACTTGATGATCCTTTTAGCTCCAGCTGGCACCTTGCCCAGCTGGTTCCTGCTGGCTCAGGACGTGGCTGATGGGACAGCCTGATGTTGCTCCAGCCCACCAAGAAGGACAGAAGTAGGCCTGCCCAGGTCTCTGAATTTCTGCAAGTCACTTCATGTGAAATACTAAACACTTGCCCGTAGGAGAACTGACAAATAAGCCATCACCCCTCTCTGTGTGAATAGCTTCTGCTGCCCAGCAGGGAAATCAGTAGCTGATATCCTGAAACTCTAACTCCCTTCAGATGTACCCTCCCCTGCAAGCTTGTCATGTACGCAGGGATCACCACTGCCCCTCATAAAACAGGCAAAGCAACAATTGCAGACCCTAATGCCAGCACTAGTCTCCTCTGAAAATAGAAACAATCTGTGAGGATTATTACGGGACGGTTATCCATCTTATTGATTAGCCTCTTGGTTAATACGCTGGGTTAAGCTGTCTCTCAGCACTGTGTTGGGAGTGAGGACTGGCCAGTAACTTGCCACCTAATCAAGCATTAGCTTATGTTATCAGCAGAACGTGGTTGGGGTTTTTCTTCCCTAGAAAAATTGTTTGTAGATGTGACTCTTGCTACCCTGGTCTCCCAGTAGGGACTCTATTGAACAACCTCCTTCCCTTGTTATAAAATATATCACGTAATCTCTTATTCTGAAGAGTGATCAAAGTTATTTGTCAGTTCAGTTATGAAACTGTCCAATTATAGAGAGAAGGGAAAAAAATCTCCCAAACAAACCACCCCTTATGTAACTATTTTTCATTCTCGAGCTTGCAGAATTGTTAAGCAGTTGTGGAGCTGCGTTTCCAGCAGTAAGGAGGCAGAGCCTCCACCCAAGAGGTCTGACTAGGAGCGGCGGGGATGGAGGGGTGGTGGGGAGCTTCTTGAGTTATGGGAGAGACTCTTCAGAAGTGGAACAGCGATGAGAGTAGCAAATGTTTCAAGGACAGCCACTGGGGATGTATTAACCCACTTGATTAGCATGATCATCATATGCTGCGAAGCTTTTCCGGCTGGGAAGGTCACACACTGCTTTTTAAGTGGAGAGAGACACTCTGCCTTTGAGGTGGGGCATAGCAGCTGTTCTAAAATGTCACGGTGAAGCAGTGTTTTTGAGAAAGGAAGTTTCTAAAAAAGAAAAAAACTCTGAGGGAATGTAAAAATCAACTGCCAATTCTCAAAGTGGTCCAAGAGCCCAGGATCTGCGTGCTTGTGATGGCATCTAGGAGTCTTCTGCACCGGAAAGCTGAACAATGACACTTCTGGGGAACAAGCACATCCAGTAAATGCCCAGCAACACTTTCTGTAGCTCTTGGGATTTCCATTGGTGTTCTCCTTGCCCCACTCTGACCACATGCTGTCCTGCATTGCTGATAAGACACAGCAATGTAGTTTTTCTGGTGAGCTCAGGAGGGCTTATGTCACAGGAGAGCGTATCAGAAGAGGAGGGGAGGAACTCGACACTTGCATGATGATGGGTTTGATGAGGTTTGGTGATAGCTCCAAGCTCCATTTCAAATGAGGAGGGCAGTAAACCATTAATTTGGTAGAGTCTCAACATTACTCCTTTTGATTTTGGTACTGGAGAGCAGAGCCCAGAGCACGGATATGGCCTGGCATGTAAACTGCTCCCGTTGTCTTCCTTGGCAGCTTTGCCTTTGGACTCATGAAGTAGGACAGTGTGAAAGGTGTGTTAGTCACTTGCCTTGCCACTGCTGCCAAGAAGCGATAGAGCCAAGGATGTGCTTATGTCTTGTCTCTGTTTGCTTTTAGTGGATGTTTTTACCTGCTATAGCTGCATGATTACCATCGCACAGCCAGCCCATCAGGCGCATAGGGAGGATGAGCCAAGCTCTTGCCTAGGGAAAAGGATATGCAGCAGACGAGTGGTGCGTTTCTCCATCTGTTGCTGCATCGTACAACTGCTGGAACAGAGAAAGGAAAGGGATGGGTACAAGAATTGGCAATGCCAACTTCTCTCTTTTCATCCCATGTCCTGTTGAGGACTCGCCTGCTGGATTGCCATATTCCCAAACTCTTCACAGCCCCCTCCATAACCTTGTTCCCCTTCTCAATTTACAGTTTCCTGTGGAGGGCAGAGTCCCATTTCTCAGCTGATGAGTGACCAGAAAAGCTAATCCTTTGGGAACATCACAGTGTCACAGCTATAAAGACCATGGATGATCTTGGAGTGCTGTGAGCCCGGAGGCTGCAGCCTGCACCTGCTTGCAATGCCAACGGGAGTCCCTGTTAGCATAGTCCTGGGACACAGCTTCTGTTTCACTGAGTGTACAGTGGAAGTTATTGCAGCAGAGTCCATGGGGCATTCTGCTGCTCTGGGAAAAGTCAATAAAATGCTCCAGTAGCTCCCCACCTTTTGAGGAGGGATCTATGAGCCACTGTCTCATGCTAAATTGGCTTGCAATGCTGCAGAGATCTGCCTTCACATCCGTACAGTTTTGGCACTCCAACAACTTTCTGGGGGCCAGGGGACCTACTGCTCTTGTACATCAGTATAGGCTGAAGGATTTTGATAGCTTTGAGCAAAAGGGATAAAGAAGATCCCAAGAAATAGAAGGGTGGGCAGAGTCCTGGGCTGAAGGGGAGTCATTGGTTTTGGGCATCTTTATCTGCGAGCATTTTGCTGATGCACAGGAACTCCTCAGCACTGCGGAGACCTGCATGTGATCACGGCATGTGATCCCTTTACAGAGTGAGGGTGGTGGAGCAGCTTCTGTTGGTTCAATGGGAGAGCTGGTTTACTTTTTGGAGTATCTCCTCTTGAGGGACGGAAGGCTTACCCTGCCCTCAGTTTTCTAACAAAGTCTATTCCATCTCTTGTCTGACAGTGATGAGCTATTGCTGGGCAAGGCCTGTGAAGGAGCGTAGCTGCTTGTTACGTTTTCCTGCATTGCGTTTGGAGGTGCCTACGTGTGGAAGAAGTCATTTGGGTTGGTTCAAGGGATGAAAGCACTAGACCACTCTCAGACTCCCAGGTCTCTCCTGGCTCTGCTGCCAGGGTTCATGAAAGGAAGTTGCAGTTCTGGCGTAGAGACAGGGCAAAATGGAAAAGCAGCCCATCACCTCAGCAACTCTCCCTTTGCCAGTGAACACCTCTTCTTCCTAAGCCTCTGGAAATCCTTGCTGGCCTGTCACATCCCTGGACGATGAGGAGTAGCCATTCAGCGTAGGCTGGGTCAGTGCTTGCTGCCAGAAGGCTCACTGCACTGCACTGTGTGCTGGAAGCCTGTGCTAGGTAATCCTCTGGGTCTCATAGGGACCCTTGGTGAAGGATGGTTGCAGTCAGCTGCCGCCAGGATTTGCTGAGGAAGCCCGGTCTGGGCCCTACTTTGGCTGTTCATCCTGCCGTGCTTGCGGTAGGTCAGGGCTGAGCAGACCTTAGGCACTGGCAGGCACGGACTGGCTGTGCCCAATGTCTCACCTCCTTAATCCCATGAGAAGTAAAGGGGCAGACAGCAAGGGTTCAGCGAATGTCATTTCTGCTTCTGAAATGGACTGTATTCCAGTAAGGTTGTTTGGTCCAGGACCCTCTGTTTCTTCATTTTAAGTCTGCATTTTCCCAAGCAGCTTGCAGTGAGACGCAGAAACCAAACAAGGAAAGAAACATGCGGGTTCCTCTTTGCGACACAGTCATACAAGAGCTATTTGTGACGTACTGACATCAGGGTGTGCAGGGGCATACTGAGATAACAAAGGGGAGGCACCAAGCAGGCTGATCAATCCATTTTCACTCATTTTTCTGCTTAATTCCAGGCTGATATTAGATCGAGGGAGCATATTCGGAAGCAGCTGTGTTCACCACTGGAGGTCATATCTTCTGGGCCAGAGAGGTAGGTGTGTGGGCAGCCAAAGCAGCTGCCTCTCCGAAGGGGATCTGCTCATGTAATGATCTTCAGTAATGGCATTAAAGGGACAGACGGGGTAACAAGGTGAGCTCAAGTGACATCAGGACATATGCTGCCTCCATAAAGGGTGATTTCTGGTGATTGTAGCCATGCTACTTCACACGTTTCTTCCGCAGAGCACTGCGTCCTAGGCTGGGGAAGGTCATTGGGGATTTGGTCTGTTTCTGGCACCTGCGATAAGTAAAGCACTAACGCCTACAGGTGTGACACGAGGGTGAACAGAAATATCCTGCAGGGAGCCGGTTTCTGCCCCCAGAAAGCAAGGGGAGGGTCAGACTCTCCCACTCTTGCATAACGTAGGCCAGTGGCTGCTTTGTTAAACGGTGTAAATCCGTAGCAAGTCCACTGACGCGTCTGAGTTCCTTGTGTTGTGGCTACGCTGCCTCTTCAGCATAGTTCACAAGAGTGCTGCTGGGTTCCCTCAGACCCACACCAGTACCAGGCTGGACAGATACCAGGTAGCCCTGCCTGAAGAGCTGCTCAGGGATGAATGAAGTGTGTCAGGACTCAAAGCCCACTCTGCTCTGAGGGTCCTGATGGACCAGAAAGAGTGAAGGTTGCTGGTGGCAGTAGTGAGGGATTACTTACGCTGACTGAGGCAGCTCTTATGGATTCCTTAGGACACCTGGCTGGTGCAACTCGTCACGCTCTGCTCAGCTTCTCTATTCTTTGAGTCATGCAGCCAGAAGCAAAAGAAGGAGCTTTCTCTGCTCTTCTAGTGGCAGTTGCACAGCGTGGCCAGGCCATGGGGATGGCCCTGTGCAGTGCCAGGCTGGGTGTCCCCTGTTTGTGCTGGAGCTTCATCTCTAGCACCTCTAACACCTTCCTGCCATGCAGATGCTGAAGCTCACACAAAGGCTAGCTAGTTTGGAGGTCTGTGCAACAGAAAAACTCATTCCATTTATGACCATGTATCTCAAAACCTGTGTATCTGAGCCCCTTATTCACCAAGTGCCATAGTTATTTGGTCTTCCTGGTTTCTACTTTTTTTTAAAGTCTGTCACCCTTCCTTGTTTTTGTTCCTAGCAGAAAAAAGGAGGCTGAACTGGATGATTAGTCTGATGCCAGAAGAAACTGCAGGGCTCCTCTTCACTGGATCCTCTCCTCCACCAAGGCTGTGGTTCTGTCGAGTGCAGCAGCCGAGTGCCAGCCCAGGGCAGAGCAGTGCAAGGCCGTGTCGGTCAGGACAACACCAGCCACTGTGCATGGTTCTGGTGGGCAGGCAGACCAGCTTCTGTTCGAGGATAATGTTTAGGGCATATTTCTCAGGGTTGATTTTTAAGCATTGTAAAAATATTTGTGTAAGTAAAGGTACACTTGTAATTTTGCTGCAGCTTACTTGAGTATGTGGGCAGTTGTGGGAGGTGATTTACAAAGAGATGCTGAGACGCTTAACTTAGTTATAAACAAACTCCAGAGCTGGCCTTTGGCTCCCACCACACCTCTGTGGCACAGAGACTTCCCTTCTTGTCGTTTTTGGAACAGCTTCCACCCAGTCCCTGCAGCCTGTACTCTCACATTCACTTTGCACGTCTCCGGGGAACAGAGCCCAGTACGCAGCTCCGGCTGGTCCTGACAGACGGGCAGAGGACGCTGTGTTTCAGGTGGGCGTGTGACTCACGAGGGAGGGGACGGAGCCAACAGTCTGCTGCAGATTTTGGAAGATGCTCGGAGGTCTGAGCTCCAGTACCCGAGAAGCTTTCTGTCTTTGGTGTCAGTGGCTTCTGCGTGCCTCTGCTGCCTTGGTGCCATGCAGCGGCGACCGGACCTCGGTGTCCGTGTGCGGGTCGTTATCTGTGCTGGGCACACGGTGCTCTAGTGTTGCTGGTCTTGGTGGGAACTTGCTCTGCATTGCTGCTGAAGCATGGTTCAGATGGAAGGGCATTATGGTACCCAGACTTGCTTGGCGTTACTGTGACCCTCTCCGTGGTGACTGAGGCAGGAGGCTCATGGTGCAGATCGGCTCTTCCTGAAGGAAAGATCATCTCAGGGGGAAGGAGAATTTCCCATCAAGGAGAATGGGGAGGGGGGTCCTTCCTAATACACAAATGAGTCAGGGTGGGCAGATCCCAGGCTTGAGTTTTTGCAGTCTTGAGCGGACGGGGAGCACTTGTGTCAGGTCAGGAGGAAGCTGGCTGTGCCCAGACGCTTGGACCAACGCCCATCAGTTAAGCCATTTGTGAAGCTTTGCTTTAACAGCAGAGCCCAGAACAAACAGTTTCTATCCCTGAATCAATACAGCCAGTCTTGTCCAATTTGCAGGGCTAAAGCTTTGCCTCCAAAGGTGTGGGTTCCTGGTTGTATTCGGCAGGTTGTTCCTGACCATTTCCAAAGAAAATTGGAGCAGATATATGAGTTCTTGAACACAGCCAAAACTCTGGCATGTTGATTTAAAAAAGCACAGCTGTGTAGGATTCCAGCCTGAAGAGGAAAAAGGATGTTTTCCTGGGATTGGAGAGGAGTGCTCGGGGTCAGGACTCCTGTGGTCTGTTTTAAATGCTGCCAAGCACTTCACTTTTGCATAAATTTATCTTACAGCTTTTGTTGCTCTTTTCTCGCCGCCATCTCAGTCTCGGTGCTGCTTTGGGTATAGAGGACATTCAGCCCCTTTCACGTGTCTGTGCAGCATCTGCTGGATCGGAGTCTGGGCTGGTTCCTCCTTCAGTGCTACGCCCTGAAACCCAGGCGGGGAAAAGGGAGGAAGCAACAAACTTGGCTCCCACGGGGCCCATTTGGGGAGCTTGCTTGGGCTGGTCCCCGGGAGTGTTGAAGAGGGGGACAGGTGCTGACAGGGTGCTTCCCAAAAAAACCCTTGCTGATTGATATGTTTTAAGACAAAGCCAGAAGCATCTGCAGTTTTCAAGCCCCGAGAAGGAGCATGCCGTCTCCTGGGAAGCTGCAAAGCCATTTTCACATGGGAGTTTGTTACATGGGTGGGCAGAGACCGGGAAGGAAAAAACATCGCAGTGAAAGCGTGCTCCTTTGATCCCGGTGATGTGCATGGGATCAGAGGGGCTGCCTGGCAGGCCAGGGTAAGAGAAAGCGTTTGGGTTTGCGTCTGACGCTGGCTTTGGCAGGGGACAGGGGTGCGGGAGGCTGGTGGGCAGCCCTCCCTGGCCGAGGGGACGCGAGAGCAGCCTTCTCGCCTCGCTCCCAACGCCACAGACGCAGCACCTCTTCTGACACTGCCGTGTCCCCTCTCTTGAGGGAACAGTGTGGAGGTGGATCCCCCTAAAAAGCGACCGCGCTGACTGCCAGCTTGAGAAACCAGTGAAACAACCGAACGCTGTGGGAACAGCCTCCCCTGGTGCTGCTGCCTCCATCATCCACTGTGAAGACACCCAGAGCTGTCCGGAGGGCAGCGGGAGCCCAGCCAAAACACCGCTTCCCAGCTCCCAGGTGTGATGGGGAGGGGACCCTGACAGTGACCTCTGGTGAGGGAGGAGTATTAGTTGTGTAATTAGCAGCAGTGGTCCACTCCCCCTGCAACAGGAAACTCAATCTGGCTTAACGAGGAAGGGCTTGCTGCCACAGCTGTCCGCATGCAAAGGTCTGCTGGGGTGGGAACCCCCACACCCCCTAAAAGCACCTCCATGGCTGGGTGCTTTCAGCTCTGAGCACAAACACCCTCCATTTCCTTTCTGCCAACACTATCGGACTTGGGGTGAGCCCTGCAGGACCCCCCCTAACTGGTAGGGGCAGAGGTATTAACTAGTGAGCTCTTAGTGGGAGGAATCGGTCTGGGACCTTTCCCAGCTCTTCCCAGGAGCCACGGGACCGCTGTCGGCAGCGAACGGTTGTGCCCATTTCTCATCCCAACCACATGCGAAGCGGCAACTTCACTAAACCGCGGGGACAGGGTCCCGTGGAGCCTATCACAAATTTAGGCACACGGGGCATGCTGAGGGCAGGGGGTGGGCGCTGCTTTGATCTCAAGGGCAGAACACCGGAGAAATCCGGCTTTTTTTGCTGATTGCCTTGGCCTGGACTTTGCTGGCCCGGGGAGCAGCCTGCCTGTGCTGGGATGCCACAGCACACAGGACCGGCCCAGGCTCATCCCAAACTCTGGGTCATACTACTCCCGCTGCAAATTTATCTCAGTGGTGCCAAAGCACCTCATTTGGCTCAGCTGTGCCAGAGGAGGGGTCTGTCGGGGAGCAGAGCAGCTCCTGCTCTAGGGGTTACCCTGCTAGGAAAGGGGTTTCCTCGGCAGATGGGACTGTAGCTCCTCCTGACCTGGCTGCGCAGCTGAAGCCGGTGAGTGCCTGCAGTTTTAAGCTTTCCTGATATATTGGTGATTTTGTGTGCTTCTGGTTGGTGTTTGACCACGAGAGGGTTGGGGTGTGCCGCTTGGTGGAGGTTCTGCAGCAAAAGATGTGAGCTGGGCTACGTTGAGCCCAGTTCCTCAAGAGGAATGGGAGGCTCTTGCTGTCCTGGGTCTGCAGCCTCCTCCTGCTGGGCTCTGGTCTCTCTGGTGTGCATAAGGTCTGCGCAGTCACCCTGCGAGAGAGCTGGGGCTGGTAACGCTGCTGTCTTCAGCTGGCCCGTGCGCTGCAGCCTGCCTCGCTGCAGGGGAGATGCCTCTGCCCGGAGGGGTGAAGTGGAAAAAAGCAAACAGTAACAAAATAAAGACCAAAAAAAGACAAAAAGCATCGCTATGCACTGCTTCCCCCAGGCACCGCTGCCCGGTGCCGCTTCCCTCTGCGTGAACTGATGTGTCTCTGCACTCTTCTTATTCTGAGCGCAGGTAAATTCTGGAGATCAGATGACTTTGGATTAAAGTCACCTTTACAGGGTTGGGAGGAGGAGGGGTGTAGCCTTCATGGTGAGACCTTGCAGCCCTCTCTGCAGAGCCGGTGGAGCTGAGGGCTCTGTTCTGCTTGGGTTTTGTATTTACCTGTACCGTGCGGTGCTCTCTCAGCTGCCAAAACCTGGGGAGGTGGTTAAACAAACTGACTAATCTCTGTGTTTGGTGTCTACTTGTGGCTCTCTGAACACAATAAGGGATTAACTTGGTCTTTATCTAATTGGCTTATAAACTAGGGAAGGGAAAATCGCTTTGTAATGCATGAAACCTCCTCTTAATAGAAACTCGGAGACTAGAGCCTGAGTGTCCTTCCTAAGTAAACTTATACTCATCTCTTCCTTTTTAACTCTCTGTTTGCTGGAAATTAGCTTTTCTGGGTGTTAAGTATTTGTTCTCCGGTTCCCAACAGCTTATGCTGACTTGGTATAAAGCCTTGCCTTTTGTTATCGCCAAGGATACTTTTCTCTTTAACGTTTCTATCTGTGACTGTTGAGGAGTCTCTGAAGGGGTCTCGCTGCTTGGTAACTCCTCAGTGCTGCTGGTGAACAGGGCGTGGGGCTGGAGCTGCGGGATAACAGGAGCTGTGCCTACTGTGTCCTGCGGACCACAGCCCTGGCACTCAAAGCAGGGGTGTAGCCATGCAGCGATGCCTCCCGGGTGACAAGCAAGGGCTACAAGCTGGGGCAGAATTGTTCACTAGCACTAATCGCTAAATAAAAGTAAGTAAGGGCTGGTAAAAATCTGGAACACGGATGGGAAGAAGTAGTAGAATGGCGTGAAACCAGAGGGGAAGAAGATGGAGAGATGAAGGAAGGAGATTGAAGCCCCTCTTGTGGCTACAGTGGGGGCTCTGTAAAAAGGAGAAGCTCGTTGGGATAGTTCTTCAGCTTCTCGCCGCAGTGAAATAGCGTACTGTAACACAATCCTTGCTCCTCTGCTGTGTGCCTGGAGGATGGATTAGGGCTGACTACCTTTGATTAAACTAATTTGCCACCTCTGCTGCCTTATCGTTCAGCTGGTGCTGCCAGGCGGGGCTGGGCTGTAGCACTAACATCCTCCTGCTCTGCTCCGGGTGGCTGCTCCATAGCCCGTGCTGTTGGGATATGCCGTGTGGGTTCGGATTTCCTGACTCCCTGCTGTGCTCTCTGTAAAACATGTGGCACCAAGACAGCTCTGCAAAATTATTCCTG